CAGCATTCGCTATTATCGAATTTTGATTGAGAAAAAGTCAAATCTTCTCAAACGTTTTGCTGTTTCACAATGTGACAAATTATGATGCGATAGAATGATACGTAACAAACCACAAAAGAACAACATTATATTTTGAAATGGCATTCGATAGAATGTTTCATATTTTCTAGAGTTAAATTATACTTTATATTCTGACACTGTTTTCAACTTTTTTTTTTTATTTAAATTCTAGAACGATACTTTATTTATTTTGTTTTAACACAAAGTAGTTATTTGTTACTTAAATGTTGAAAAATTTTATTTTCATTTTATTTAGTTGATGATAATACGAGTAAAGTTACTATAATTCAATGTAAAATATAATATCAATTAGAATTTTAAGAATTATTTTTATCGAAGAAGATAATATATACTACAGCTCGTTTTATGCAATCTAAAGAAATTCTAAATAGATAATTTAAATTATACTTCAATCGAATAGGGTATATCTCATCTACCAGAATTTCAATAAACATTCAAAATTTGAAATGAAAAAAAATATTTCGTAACTATTATATTTGTATTAATTAATTAGAATTTGAAAATAATTATGCCTATATAATATATAAAATTAAATCAATTAGTAAAATGTTAATATAATTATAATATCACCAGTAAAAAAAAAAAAAAAAAACCAAAGTTATGATATAAATATTATAATATTATTACGATACAATACTCCAATTACGAATCAGTCCTAGTTTCTTGAAGTCACTATAATATAAACTAGTAAAAATTTAATTTAAAATATGTTTCTATAATACCAAAACATATCAACAATACATTTTTGAGTTCAATTAAAAATCATCATTAAAATTTAGGAAATTAAGTATATACAATACATTTATCACTTATCTTACTCATTTAATTATTTTCATTACCTAACGTTATATATTATATAATTACGTTATAATGTTATATTTACACATTTAGCAGAAATATAAAAATAATTTTATAAATGATACAAAAATATGATTTATAATCATACTATGATTTGTATTCAAGTCTATTCAAATATTATGTTTTATAGGATTGAAAATACATATAAATTATTATCAATTTGTGTTTGTGCAAAACAATAATAAATTATGATTAATGTATTTTTAATTTAAAAAAACTTTTAGAAACTTAAGGTTTATTATTAAGTCAAAATAAAACTAAAATTTAATAACTAGAAAGTTTATTTTTTTTCTAATTATTTTTGTTGTGATTTTGTAATTTTGTACGGCCAATAAAAAAACATTAATTTGAGAAAATTGCGTATAGAAAGTACCCAGCACAAAATAGCATAATAACCTTTTTACCCTGAAAAATAATTTTTCTTTACTGATAGATGTATGCAAAACTATATGAATATGTAACTTTTAATAATTTACTTACTTTCCAAATTAATAAAACTATAAACTATTAAGGAATAAAATAAAATATTTCTATTATTCCATGCTCTTGATTCTATGAGTAGGTGTTTGTGATAAAAAAAAAAAAAAACTCTGAAAAAAAAATGTAAAAAGCATTACCTACTAAACAGTATAATAATATGCAAAATTAAAATATATAAGAAACACCTTTATATATGGTAATTTTTGCATAATTTGTTAGACACCGACATTCTTGAACAAAGTAAAAAATTACCACCAAGCTGCGAACAACTAAATTTAATTGTCTATACATACATTGCAGTTTCAAACATTTAGAGTTGTTTAGAGTTGTTACACGATTATATAATCCAAAAATGATACTACTAAATTATAAAAAAAAATCATTGTCAAACAAAAACATTTCTCACTTTGATTTTAATCTAATAATACATTTTATAAAAAATAATCAGATTTTTAAGTATTGTCTTAAATATTTTATACATTAAATTTTTTAATGTTTTTTTCGTGTTTTTAATTTCTATACATATATTATTTTATTATATGTTTATAATTATAACTTCAGTTTTAATACTTAAGTTTCATCAGTTACTGTTTGAATAAATGTATATTTTTTTTACTTAGTAATATTTATTTTCATATAAATAATATTTAATTCTCTTATAAACTTTTCTAATTCATAATATATATTATACAGAATAATATTTATATCGTACACCAGAATTATATTATTAAAAACATAAAGGGTTTTTAAATTTATGAATGTTGATAATCATCGCTAGATGTAAAATAGTATATTCTTATACCCTTAAATAAAAATGTTTTGATACTCCTTAAATTTCCTAAAATATTATCTAATAGTTTCATCCAAATATGACCTCACTAAAATAGACAACAATCGAATAAAACGTAAAATATTTTCGTGAAACGTCGTTAAAAACGATCGTTAATACGATAATATTTTATAATAAAATAATATTACACTTAAAAACCAATATAATGTGCGTACCTCATAAAAGGTATTTTGCTTTAAAAATCATGATATTATGATTACGATGTGTTTCTGGCCATAAACGAAAGTAAACCGTCAAAAAAGCCATAATTTACTATTTAGACCAAAGCGTTCTCTCTTCATTTTATCTCAAGTGAACAAATTAGTTACATTCACATTATAATACCATAGCTCTCGAATAATGTATATTATATATATCACGTTTAAAATAACATATAGTCTCCAAATAAACTTGCTCCTATTTTTCATTTAATAACAAAAATTATTAAAACTCTGATATTTGGAATATTTATATAAAGTAATATACTTAAGGACTTTTTTTTAAATTTTTTTAATTGTTTTATTCTATTTAAGGAGTATTCAATAGTACCTAATACAAACTTTTTTTTCCAAACCCCCTTCCTTTTTTTATAGTAAATTATTGAGTAGATATTTTTTTTTTAAATATTGATGCACCCAATAAACTGAATATTTTTTAGTTATTTAAGTGCTTATATTAAGAATAAAAGTCTTTAAAAATAATTAATTTTCAAATCACTGCATAGCTCTTATATCTTCCAAAATTATTAACATATGCTTACATCCTTAGTACACAAAGTTAAATAACTTAAGAACTATTCATTCAAATTTTGAATTTGATACTTTAAAGTTTTCAAAAAAATTAACCATTAAATAATTTTCTGTTAATAGGGGGATTTCTTGTTAGAAAACAGCATTTTGCATCTGTATAGAACATCTTTTGATAGTACTTAGACGATCTCAAAAAATTTAAAAAATCAGATTTTGAAAATTGCAATGTTGTAGAGAGAGGGATGGCCATGCTTGACGATTCACTCTGTATATAGACTAAAGTGTTTTTTTTTTTTTTTTATCTAATTCTGGCAGTAGTTTTAGCGTATCCTAATCTATTGCGCTCGAGTAGTCACAAGGGTACAAAATATTATGCGTATAACATCTATTTATTATATTATATTATACTCGTAGTAATTCAGCAACATTGTTATTACGCTTAAAAATTTAAGCACAGTGCGACACAGAAACGGTGTCCGTTATATAGTTATTTATACGTAATAGTATATTATATTATATTAAATAGTATTTATCAACGTATTCCCTCAATGGTAATTATATTATCTAATATATTATCTACTAAAACAGTGAAAATATTTTACTGGGGTTGGATTTAATACTTGTCTACAGAGACTCAATCAAATAGTCTATTATTTAAATTTAAATCGTGTGCGAGTACGACGTTGAAACGTGTCACAATGGTGATCGACGATAACGACCGTGGTTCAAAGTTTATGATACAAATGCTCAAAGTTGTAGACATAATAATATAAACAAACCCTATTGTGTCGAACAAGAAATTAATGATCCGTTGTCGTTAATACAACGGCTTGGTGCACAAAATTAGTCGTAATATTATATGCAAACCCTGTGCCACTCCACACTACTCATCTAAATTTTAAATAATGATGTTTTATAACTAATTAACACCTTGTTAAGAATTCGATTTTTATACATTATTAAAACTATAAAAAATATAATGTTTTGAATAAAGAGATTAAAAACGTGTGTTTTTACAATATATATAAGATAAATAATTATAATAATTTATAACAATAAAAAATAAAAATAAATTTTTTTCTAACATCTCATTTTACAATAACTTTAAAAAATGGTAAAAATAATACTTTAAAAAATGTTTACATTTTTAGATATAATGAGTGTTTACTGTTAAAATAATAACCTTGTATAACGTAATACGCGTACTTTCAAGTCCCATTCCAGATTAAACTAGTTCTCTAGATTTCTTATCGAACATAAAAAAATAATGGAGGACATAAATTACAACTAAACGTTTTCCAAATTGTTCTTTTGGTTTTTTTCAGTAGACCTTTTTTGTTTATGAATAATACACGTGATTTTTTATGGATATCACATAATTGGTATGCAAATTCATATAGATGTTTAATATGCGTATAAAATGAATCGTAGCTTACACGTAGGTATAAAAAATAATTACAAGTTTAAATGTTACCATACATTTCAACATATATCAATAAAGACTAAAATTTAAAACACATCCTACTAATCCCTAAAAAAAGTGTCGATTACTTTTACAATTTCTCTGATCGGTACTTAAATATATTTTAATACCATTTTCTACCAAGAGATATAATTTGGTTTTCCTATCGGATAACCGGTTTCAATAATTTTTATCGATAAAGCATCGATTAAAAAAAAAAAAAACACGCTATTGAAAATATTACGCATGCAATACATGTCAACATGACAATTATTATTTGTATGCGCGCAAAAATAGTTAATTCTGTGCGTAAAAAATTACTAGGCATAACAATTTTATCGAGTTGGGCAAGTGCGATTGCGAACCCAAAACATGTCACAAATCGTCAACTGCGCGGATTCGGCCGTTTCTATTTTCCAGCTGTACTTTTTTCGTCGTGATATTATGACTTTCCGAATAATCGCACGGACAACGACGGCGGTAAATAACAATAACAACGCGTAATAATATATCGTTTCGTTTTTGTTTTTATTTGTTGCAGCGCATGCAGCCGAACCATCATGCTGTGCACGGACGTCTCGTCCGACAGGCCGAAGTATAACTACACGGCGATGGTGAACGTGCGCAACCTGAACCTGACGCAGGAATACCTGCAGTACCTGATCAACATCACGTCGTCGCTCGATGTGGACGAGGCGGTGCTGGCGTCGGAGCCCGGTTGCTACAACTGCGGCGGCGCCGTGAAGAGCTACTCGCTGCTGTTCCGGGCGGTGCACGGCTACGTCAGCCTGTTCCTGTGCGTGTTCGGCGCGCTGGCCAACGCGCTCAACATCGCGGTGCTGACGCGCAAGGACCTGGCCGGTTCGCCGATCAACCGGATACTGTGCGGCCTGGCCCTGGCCGACCTGGCCCTAATGGTCGAGTACACGCCGTTCACGTGCTACATGTACCTGACCACGGCCAAGAAGGAGGAGTTCTCGTACGTGGGAGCGGTGTACGTGCTGTTCCACACGTACGTGTCCCAGGTGCTGCACACCGCGTCCATAGCGCTCACGCTCGTCCTGGCCATGTGGAGATACGTGGTCGTCAAGTGAGTATACGGCGCGCGTGATGCGCAGACTGCACAGTGCGCGGGTCGTCCGCGTCGACGCGGCGCAGAGGACAACGCGACTCCGTGACCGTGTTCTGGGCCCGCTGCGTACGGATTCGTACAAATGACGTGCTACTGTAACGATAGAATAATACAATTTCCATATTTTTAAAACTGGGGGGGGGAGGAGCTGGCGTCACGTGCGCGTGATACGATGCGGGAGTGTGCGCGACGAACGCGTCTCTGGATACGGCGTGTGCTTGACGTCGACTTTTCGACATTTCGACGTTAGAAAACATTTTCGGTGGGTATGATAACAACGACAACGACAAAATCAACAGTGTTTCGTAAATCCAGATTAGACGGACCTGTGGCCAGGGCGGTGGTGGTCATACTATGTACCTATCAATATATAAATCATAAACGTACGGCGATTTCGAGTCATTTGAGATAGATTTTCGTTCAACGGTACACCGTGTAGGCGTGTATTATTATTACAAGCGTTATTATTATTACTAAACATGAAATACGTGTCGGAGTCAAAAATAGGATTTAAAACTTAACTCCCTCCGTCAATATGTGTATTCGTAGTTTTTATTGATAGATATAGGTATTTCGATATTTGTTCGTTTTTATTTCATAAGTTCGTGAAAGAAAGTTCTACAAGAAATTCTACGTTAAGTTGTTTGTTATTGTCACTATAGAAAATCGAACTGATTTACTCATATGTACGTCGTAATTTAGGTTTTGATAAAATAGTTATAAACGAAAGTTAAAATATTTGTAGCTATTTAGAAAGTCGCTATTACCATTTGTTGGTTTTTATTAATCGAATTTGAATTCAAGTAATGTAAAAAAAATAGTTTGTTGTCACATTTAAAAAACAATAATTAAAAAATTTGATTAAATATGCAATCATAAATATATATTATTAGAAAGCGAGTAAAAAGTTTGTGCAGTTGGGGAGGGGGATAAAAATGTAGAATAACACAAATATATTAAATGGCTGGGAGCACTGATAAACCTCGCTACCACCTGCATATCGACGTTATCAATACTAGGTTTATTATCATTCACTTTGTGGACAATATTTATAAGAGTGCTTATACCTAAATACTTTTGCACTTACTTCAAAACTACTAGCGTGTATCTTAGAATATAATACGAATGTATAAATAGGCCTTTACGATTACGAAATAACACTTTTTTGTAGGATTAATAATATTATTTGTGTAGATGAGTAATCCGTTATTTTTACCTGCCAAGAATGTAGTAAGTAGTCATTATAAAATTTACATAAATAATACCTTATTTTAACGCCTTGTACATAATTTTGTGTCATGATAATAAATAATTCACAAAAATACATTGATTTACTTATCGTGATATTTTTGTTTATTTTCATTATTTCACATAATATATTAGGTAGATGCCCATTCAATATTTTAATATAAGACACGAAAATTAATAGATGCGATATTATTTAACTGAGCATTAAGTATATCATGCAGATTGGTACAGGTATCCGACGTATTATCCCGTAATCATTTTGTATGAGCCATTATGAATTTATGAGAAACTTTTTAATTAAACACGTACAAGAAGCTAAATCAAATATTTGGATTCTAGTGTATTTAAAACAGAAAATAAAATGAAAACCCTTAATAAAAATAAAAATAAACCGTGATTTAATAATGATTTTGTCATAATAATATATATAAATCGTAATAAATAAGGATAGTATCTTAAAATAATCATAAACATAAATGTATTAAGTGCAAGTACTAGTATAAAGTGATTTTATTAATCGAGAAATATTTAATATTAAAATAAAATAAATAATATGATATTATACCTAAACTAAAAGTATTAAATATTTAAATTAATGGAACAATATTGACGTTAGAAATATTTTTATCATAATATTATTATTGTTGTTCATTTACATCGCGTTTCATTTTCAACTTTACTATAGTATTTATTAAATAATTAATATATTAAATATACAATATACATGTTATATTTTTACTGAGGATGATCATGTATAAAACCAAATAAATAATAATAGTAATCTTTATTACGCGCCTTAACTATATTCAAAGAAATATTTACATTTCAATTGTTTAATCTTGTAATCATGCCATATTTTTAGAATATAAATTTTTTCTTTTTTTATACATACATAATTTGATTTAATTTATTTAATTGAATCGAGAAATTCAATCAAATATTTAACTTAGGGGTGTTAAGATAGTATTAAATTTTGTATCAAGTCAATTACATTTATTCAGCAAATTCAGAGAATCAGCAACCGTTTTAACAAAATATTCTGAAATAAACATTACTGTTCATTATTTTGAAACAACATCCACATTAATCCCAACTCAAATTTTTAGTGTCTAATTGTAGAAAAGTTGAGTTAAGGCTAAATAAGAACCATATAAGAGATAAGACATAGTTTTAAAGGTAGCCGTTTTGAAAACATATCGAATTATTTGTAGATATCTATCTAAGAATAAAAATAAACAATAAACTATTATTATATGAATAAAAATTATACCATAGTACATTATGAGTTCCGTAACTACTTTTTTTTTTATACATAATGATAAGTCACTTGATTGCCCAAGTAATTGTCAATATATTATTATATTATTCGTAGGATCCTTATTGAATATATTATAATAAACTTATCAAGATTTTATTTACAATATAATATTAAAATAACCTGTAAATATTTTATATATTTTCATGAGTAAAATTTAGGAACCGATTGAAACCATATGTTTATAGGATTAAATGTGTCTGTTTTTGGTTGCTGGGTAATTTCAAGGTGGTTCACTAATGTAATTTGAATTGAAAAGATTACATTAGTTATTTAGTATTATGGTTACGTATAGTTGTGATATAGATACTTTTGAAAATTAACAAAAATCGTTTATAATATTTATTATTTATTTATGAAAAAAATAAAAATACGCTCTACATCTAAGATGAATGGATCCATTTTCTTTAAATTAATACAAAAATTAGTTGCCGACATTAACGATGAGTCACTTGATGGGGTGCTCGATATGCGCATGCAATCAAGTTCAAAATAAATGGTTGTTATCTTAGATCATACACTGATATATGGTTACTACCCAAGTAATTTGACGATAACTAAACGAAGAGTTACTTCACGCATGAACACGTAGTACCATACATCGAAAACTTCATCAAGTAAATCGTCGCTAATATCGGCAACAAAATAATGAGCTGTTGTTCTATTCATAGGAAATATTTTAAGCTCTATATTGTACCAGATTTAGAAATGCTATGTAGATATTTTGTAAACATTAAAAAATTTAATTTATAACCATGCATTGACACAAAACCAACATGACATTTACTGCACATATTTTATACATACAAAATCAGGAGAAATATTTTTGCATCGAATTTCTACGCACTTTTTTAATGTATATGAAATTGTTCGACGACAACGGTGTAAAACATGCTATAAGACAAATCTAATAAATTCTTAGAAACAAATACGAAATGCAATTAATATAAAACGATAGATAGACAGGCAACGTAGTTTAGATATGTAAAATATAATTAAATATAGTGTTATATGATATGTATAATGTTTATTTTTATGCAAATATATGAAATCAAAATTACATTTTCCATCTATAATATGAAAGAATTAATATAATATCTATAAACAAAAACAATTTAGAATTGAGCTATGAAAAGCATTTTTTAATTTTTTTTTTTTTTAGTTTTAAAATAAACTAAAAATGTTTATTAACAAATATAATATAGCGTAATACTTACATGCATTTAGTGTATCATTAAATTAAGTTTGATCTTACGTTCGTGATACGCTAAAATATATCAATAATCTAATTAACTGATAAAAGAGCAAATAATTTAGTTCTAATAAATGCTTGACGAGATTGAACTGACTATCATATTATTAACATCGAATATTCCATTTTAAATCGAAAAAATATTTTTATTCCCTGTTTCAGTTTCTTATTTTTATAATTCTACAATTATTTATCTTAAACAAAGCTAAACGAATATCATTTGTTGGCCATCATTTTTATTTTCTACCTTAAACATTTATTAATATTACATACATTTTTTACCATCATTCTAACAAAAAAAATATTTAGTAATTGAAACTGAATTGTCTATAACTTCACTAGAATGTATAAATTAAAGTTATATTTAAAACTTAAATACTAAATAAAGAATTTAATCGTTAGTATTGTAATATACACACAGACTTATTTTTATGAATAAAATGTGTTTCTATTTTTATGTTTAAACACAATTACTAATTGTTAGTTGCTGTTTAAGCACTTTTCATGTTTAAATTTCACGCTGCGTACCATCTTGATTAAACACCTAAGTGCTACAGCATTTTAATAGATTACATTTACGACAAGAAGATAAAACAAAATAAGAAATAATATTCTTTTTAAAATGCATTTATTTCATTTTATTTTTCGCCTTAATGTATCCAATCATCAGGTAACCTGCAACAAAATTAAAATAAGTACCTTAGTTAATGTAAGTGAAAAATACATATCAAGAGCTTTTATAGATATACACAAAAGATTAGAATAATTATAAAGTACCTAGCTACTACTTACCTATTTAAGTTATAACTTATAAATAATTGTATAACAATTGTATAAAAATCTACTAACAATAAAATACAAGATACAGTATTATCTAATTTTTTATTATTAATATCATCTCATACCATTGTTATAAACATAGAAATAAGGTTTATTTTTAACTTATTTACATCCTTATTTCACACAAAATATAGTATGAGTGTAAAGTGATCCTACATTATAGCCATTTTAATTTATACAAATTCGTGATTAATGTTTATTCGTATGTATAATATGTATAGTATTTTAGTTAATATTTAATGCGCAATAGTATTAAAGAAATAATTTATATGTTTTCACTTAGTGAAATCGATCTTTTCATGA